TTTTTTTGAGACAAGATCCCACTATGTAGCTGAGGCTGGCATTGAACTCTCTATGTGTCCCAGGCTGACTCCAAACTTGCAGCAATCCTCCTGCCTTAGCTTCCCGAGTGCTGGGATTTATAAGTGTGTGCCACCATGCCCACCTTTTATCTATTTTTCATCGTGAGATGCAGTTTTAAAAAAGAAAATACAGGGCTGGAGATTTAGCTCAGTGGTTCCACCACTTGCCTCACAAGCGCAAGGACCTGAGTTTGATCCCCGGTACCAAAAAAAAAAAGAAAATACGCATTGATTAGAGATTAATTAGGCAGGAAGTGGTGGCACACACCTATAATCCCAGCACCTGGGAGTCTGAGGCAGGAGCATCATGCATATTCAAGGCCAGCCTGAGCTACATGGTGAGTTCAAAGCCAATCTGGACTACATAGCGAGACCTTGTCTCAAAGAGAGAGAAAGAGTAATTAGAAAATTGCTAAAAGAAAAATATGTTCACACTTTATATTGTCTCAAATAGTTTAGTGTAAAAACTAAATATACTCGTGTATACATTTATAAAAAGGAGAAAACTCTGTTCTACAAATTTTTCCCACTTTATATTCTGAACATTTTTCTCAGTTTTAATATTAATATTAATATTGTTCCAGAATTCCAATTTCATGACACATATTTAGGCAGTTTATTTTCAAAACATACAGGTCTGAATATTCATCTGTTTTTCTATCCACAAGGAACATTTTTCTGAAAGTTTTCCCAGACTTGTAAAGAAAGATACCCAGAGAAAAAAAAGGAAGAAATGGCTGGTTGTAGGGGGGGTTCCCCAATTAGTTCCATCTTTTTTAAAGCCTCAGGGATGAACAAAGACCTAGTGTTTTTGGATGGCGCTGCTGTGTACTGCTGCTTTAATGTTTACATTATCTTTCTATCTTGATTTCCCATTAGGTTATAACTCTTCGAGAGCAGAAATTAAATTTATAGGTCAAATTCTACTGTGTGCACTACATTAAGAAAAATGTATAGTGTTACTGAGAAAATTAATAACATTTCAGAGGGAATATTAAAAATAAATCTGCAATACATTACCTAACTGCTTCAATGAAAATGAGTAAACTTTACATATAAGTCTGAGTTTTTAGAATAAACTGGTCCCACCAGAAATAAGTAACTTTCAGCCTAGTTAGAAAACTGAAATACTTCCTTTAAAATACCTTAATTAGGGCTAGGGATTTAGTTCAGTGGTTCTGCCTCCTGCCTCATAAGCACAAGGTCTGGAGTTCAATCCCAGTACCAAAAAAAATAAAATAAAATAAAATGCCTTTATTAGACTGTGCTAAACCAAAATCTTCACCTCAAATTTGTCTACTTTACTATAAAATAATATTCCTGCAGCACTTTACAGTTAAAGCTTTTGCACACATAATACTAACTGAACCTCATCACCACCTCAGGTGGGGGATGGATGCATAGCTATGCCGCCAAGGCTCTGAGAAGATGACTTGCCCCATTTCAGTGAGGAAGTCACAGGGGGGCAGGGGTTTCCCCGACTCTGAGCTCCATGCTTCTTCTATTACTATTCCACACCCTACTTAAAGAGTTGCAAGCATCGCCCAATAAATAATACGGAACCCTAAAACAATGTATCAATAGTTTTTGAAGTTTCAAGGAAAATAATCTGACTTAAATGTTTTCATAAACACCTCTACCCCAACACTCAGAACAGTTCTACATTTTCTCAGGCCATTCAAATGCTTGGAGAAAGGCCAGGGATTTGGCTCAGTGGTTCTGCCACCTGCCTTGCAAGCGCAAGGGCCCAAGCTTGATCCCTGGTACCAAAACCAAAAAGACAGTTATATCAAAAACTTGGAGAAAAGGCCGTTTTTCCAGGGTCAGGAAATTAGGCAATACAGCATATATGTTCTTCTTGTTCTTATTTTGTTTTTCTCAGGAAAGACTATTAATTATACCAAAAATCATGAAGGAACCAAATAATAAAAATGTGGAAAGTTTATTTCATGTACATTTAGTCTCTCTGCAAAACTTCTGATTCTCAGTCTATGAAATGAAGATGCATTTTTCTGGGAGAAGGAATATGGTAAGCACTAAGGAAAATAAAGCATCTCAACAGGGGAGCCCAGAGAGGGGACAGACAGGAGCAATAAAGAGAGGATAAAAGGGAATCAGCATCAAACCTAAGTTTTCAGGCTCAAAACCCCACCTTCAAATAACCTAAACGTGTTTCCCATGCACAAAGACAGTCCGTTTCTGGATACATGGGACTCGTGGGTACTGTGCATGTCCAATACAAAGTGAGATTCCAGGAGAAAATGAGAGATACACATAGCCCACATGCAGGTAACTTACAACATGGATAACAAAACAGCTAGCCAGAGGTCAACTGTGGCTGGCTTAGCAATATTTGTATTCTTCCTCTTCAAAACTGAAAATTCTGCAAGCAGATCTAAATGGCTGCAAACTAGAAGACTCTGCGACAGGAGAAGCACAGTGATTTCTTAGAATCATTAAGATTTGGCTGTCTCCTTCTGCTGAAGTTTTCACAAGAGGGTAATTCAAAAGGAAAGCAAGGGAAGAATGCAAATGACTTTAGCACGTAGGCAACATGGCCTATACCTTTGTCATGAACTCCTCCAGCTGCTCTCCAAACAGCTTGCTCTGCTGCTGAATAAACTGCTCACAGGCTGATTTCAGATGCCGGTCTACGTCTTTTTTAGAGTCAAGATAATGTTCTCTTATCTCAGGAGTACCCTTAAAGAGAAGATGACAATTTCCTCCTGTTTTTATGTACCTAGATATTACTACACATGTAAAGAATGTCGTTTTGTTCCCACCACCAATGAAACAGACTCCTTCTCACCTCCAACAAGAACTCTATCAAGGCATTGTTGCTACTCAGCCTAAAAAATCTTGGAACGGTCATAGGGTTCAGGATTTTAAATGCTGCATCTGTGAAACAAAATTACTCATCCAGTGAACATGTACAGTTTAACAGAGAAGTCTTGTGTGACAAACACTAGTTCTCTACACCCCAAGCCACAGGCATGCATCTTCACCGGCTCAACTCGGTGAATGGCTGGGGGCGAGACATCGGCCAGAGATGGCTACGGCAGTTCTGAAGGTCAAAACTGCAAAATGACTATTCATCTCTACAATCTACTTACAGAAAAAAAAGAAAAGTAATAAATGGTATTCAACACTGTAAAATTTCATTACTTTACTTTTAGAATGTTAAGAAATTTTAAGAAAATATTTACGTACTTACCCAGCTTCTTTGTTAAGATCCTGGCTGGCATAAAAATTTATTCACTTGAAGTAGAGTGAATAAACTAATGTGTCAGCCAGGAGGAAAACACCAAGAGGACATATTTATCCCTTAACCTCCAGGCTAACTAGAATCTATAAAAAGTTCTAAGTGAGGTTTCATTAATGTTCAAATGCAATAAGGTAAAATGTTAGTCGTAAGAGGTTAGAGGCTTAAAAGTGAAGATAGCAAGTAGTAAGTGAGAGTTTTGTAAAAAAGATAATTTAAGGGCCAGGGATTTAGCTCAGTGGTTCGGTGGCCTACCTTGCAAGCGCAAGGACCCAAATTCAATCCCCAGTACAAAAAAAAAAAAAAAAAAAAAAAAAAAAAAAAAAAAAAAAAAAAAAAAAAAAAAAAAAGATAATTTCTTTGCTTTGCTTTTTCAGATAGAGAAAGCAAAGCAAGAAAGGCTTCAAATCCTTGGTTTTGCAAGCACAGACTACAATACTTTCTTGGCTCTGGTGTTAATGAAAAAGAACCTATCAGATTCGGTGTTTAAAGTAAAGCTTTAGTAAAACTCTGTCTGCTGCATCTTTTGTATGATATACCTGAAAGAATCTGTTTCTGATAAATAGAATCAAATCACTATCTGGAAAGGTTACATAAGCTTCATAATATTTGGGAGAAAACAAACTTTAAAACAAATTTTGCCAAAATCATATGCTATTTCATTTTTTCATTTACTCACATCTCAGTAGATCTAGAATAGAACCAAGTGGCAATAACTCATGAATTAGAAAAAATAAAAGTAAACCAACTCTGCTCTACCCCATCACTTAAAGGACTATCAGCAATCTGGAACTCTTCAAGACAGGGCACTGTTCCCACACCTCATACTGAAAGAAAAGAAAGAAATCAAAGAGAATAGCTGGGAGAAAGCAACTCTGAAGAGATTACACTCTTTAAAAATTATGCTTTCTCAAGCAGCTCAGGTGGCTGAGACAGGAGGATCACAAGTTCAAGGCCCAGCAGGGCATCAAAGCCAGACCCTGTCTCAAAATAAAAATAAAGAGTAAGGGCCGGGAATTTAGCTCAGCAGTTCGGAGGCCTGCCTGGCAAGCTCAAGGACCAGAGTTCAATCCCTAGTACAAAAAACTAATAAATAAAGAGTAGGGAATATAACTCAGTGCAAAGGCTCTGGGTTCAATCTTCCGTACCATCCAAAATCAAAAACATTTTGTAAAGGCAAAAGCCAGAAATCTAGCTTTTGTTTTTTAAAAAAAGAACAAAGTTTAGAAATAACACACATAAGCTTTTAAAAAACTCAAGAAAAATTTTTTTAAATGAACAGGAGGGAGCATTGGGGGAGGAGCTGTTTGATATGACTCTCACAAGGCCACAGTGAGTCCCAGCCAGTTAAAGAAACCCTACTCTTAAAGATGAGCACAGGAGCGAAGAGAACTAAAAACCTGCTATCTTTGCAGATTCTAAATTTGGCACTGCTCTGAATTACAGAACACAAAAAAATAATTTCAGTGACTTTTCTCCATTACCCCAATAAGAGAGAAGTTAATTCATTACATCAACAGATGGCTTAAGGCATTAGAACTTAAACCTTTTGGAAGTGATTAGGAAAAGATAAAAGTTTACAAAGATTTTTAAGTGTTTTTTTGTTTTGTTTTGTTTTGTTTTGTTTTGTACTGGGGATCAAACTCAGAAACTTGTGCTTGTGAGGCAGGAGGTGGCGCCACTGAGCGAAATCCCCGGCCCCAAAATTTGTAAGTAATCAAGACAAATAAGTGATGTTTGTGGTATATTCTTAACTGCCTACAATCAACAGCTTAAAAGGTAATTACTATGATCTTTTAAAAACTAATCCTTGTTAACTCAGGGACAAATCATCAGGGTTGCTAAATTAACTTTCCCAAGATGAGTCAGTATTTATTATCAATTCAAAGACCTATCTATATGATTAGTTAACCAGCTGATTTAACATTAACACCACTTAAGTTTATTTAAGCAGCTGAAATTTGTAAAGCACGTTAACATATATTCTCATTCCTAATGATCTTGATAAGCCAGTGAAGGTGTTCCAATAACTTCACTGTACTCATTTTACCTAGGAGAAAGGTTGGACAGAAAGCTAAATATCCATTAAAGATCTTATGAGTCAGGAAACTCAGCAGAAACAAAACCCAACTCTCAGATCTTAGGTAAGTAGTCCTTCCATTTTCACTCTGGCTTCCACATTTTCATAAACTGACAAATTCAATTCAATATTTAAAATCATACCAATTAGCTGAATACACTACTTAGTAGTAAGTAGCTATTATATTGATTTTTCATTTTCCAACTGGTTACAGTAATATGTGTTAGAATCTAAGACAGGTAATACTATATTAAAATGCTCAGATACAGTACAGTTCTCTTCCCCAGCCCTCAGCAAGTTGAGGCAAGAGGACTGCCAGGAATATAAGACCAACTTGGGCTACACAGTAAATTCAAGGGCAGCCTGAACTACGTAGTGAGATCCTTTCTCAAAAACAACAATAAAAAATACAGTTCTCTTCATAAAGAAAACACAGCAAGTTAGAAGTAATTAGGATACTGACAGCTCAGCTTAGTATGAACAAGTTACATTATTTAGCAAGCAAAGCATGCAAAAAAAATTGCAGATGAACATAAAATAAACCTACAACCTGTGCTGACATATTTGGGCAGGTCAAACACACCCAACTGTGCCAGCCAGGACAATAAAGTACCTCTAGTTTTCTTGAGGTCCAGGGAAATTTCCTTAATGGTGAATTCAGTGTGAAATGGAGCAATTTGTTCACGAAGAATCAAAAGGTGCTTAATTAAGAAAAGCTGTCCATCAATCTGAGTCTAAATTGTAAAACAGAAAAATGATATTATCACAGATTAAATCAAAACAGGCACATATATAACATTATTAACTGACACATAAATTTACAGCCTTATGATGGCAAACATTCTTTTTTTTCGGTTTTTTTTTGACAGGGTCTTACTATGCAGTTCAAGCTAGCCTTTATTTCACTTTGTATTCCAGGCTGGCCTTGAACTCCCAGCAATCCTCTTGCCTCAGCCGCCCAAATACTGGGATAATAGGCATGCACCACCATGCCCAGCTGTCAATACTCTTACTGTGCAATGAACTCTCCCTATATCACTCACATTAGAACTATTTGGGGAAAAAATCTTACTTAACTATTACTTGCTCTACTTAGAAAATCCAAGAAAGTATATCAGACAAAAAGGCTGTAAAGCACCATCTAGGAAGAGAAGTCAAACCTATTTTAATTTGTTGCACAGGTAGAAAAGATGTTGCAGTTTTAATATCAACACAGAGCACTAGGTACACAAAAGCTCCATACACAAGCATAATTCTGCCCTCTCGTGGCCTGTTATTTTCTCTTCAGAAAGATACCTTTTACTATTTGGTCAAAGTGGTTTCAATAACCAGACTCTTATACAAAAGTGAAAAAGGAGCCTCCTCCAAATGTACAATGGTTTGGGGGTCACCATTCTGGATTATAAATAGAGGACAGACAATCTATACTCCTGACTCTGGTGTCCCTTTTACCCTCTTGGAATCTATCACCTACAAAAGACATGTGATTGAAGCTTAGTTTTCAAAGCCAACCTGATTCCAAAATAAGTAATCATAATATCTACAGAAGTCTATATTTATAACTACAACATTTTATTTGCTCCTTCTTGCTGCTACTCGAGAGTTAATCTTACTTTGAGAATACTTCTAATGAAAGTTTTGTATTACATTAGAAGTTATTCTTCAGAAAGCAATATAAATTTTAAAGGGCTTTCTTTAATAAATGGTGTTGGAAAAACTGGATTTCAACCTGCCAAAGATTAAAACTAGACCCTTATCTTTCACCATGCACTAAACTAAAATCCAAGTGGATTAAAGATCTAAATATTAAAAAAAGAGTCACTAAATTTGCTGGAAGATAAGTTAGGCAGAACTCTTGAAGATATTGGCATAGGAAAAGACTTTATGAACAAATCCTCAGTAACATGGGAACTAGCACAAAGAATCGACAACTGGGATCTCATTTTATTAAAAAGCTTCTGCACTGCAAAAGAAAGCATCAACAGAACTAAAAGACAGCCTACAATGTGGGAAAAAATTTTTACCAGCTGCTTCTCAGACAAAGGACTATTATCTAGACTATATAAAGAAATCAAAAAAATCAGACCCCCTAAATACAAAGACCCAATTCAAAAATGGGCATCTGAAATGAACAGACATTTCTCAGACAAATAAGTAAAAGCAGCAAATAAATATATGAAAAAATGTTCCACATCCCTGGTCATTCAAAAGATGCAGATGAAAACAACACTGAGATTCCACCTCACCCCACAAAGAATGGCTGCTATCAAGAAATCAACCAATAACAAATGTTGGCGGAGTTGTGGGGAGAAAGGAACCCTTCTGCATTGTTGGTGGGAGTGTAGACTGGTGCAACCACTATGGAAATCAATATGGAGATACCTAAAAGAGCTGGGATTAGAGGTTCCATTTGACCCAGCCATCCCTCTGCTGGGTATCTTTCCAAAAGAATTAAAAGAATCACATAACAATGATAAATGCGCACCTATGTTTATAGCGGAACAGTTTGAAATAGCTAAAACTTGGAAACAGCCCATTTGCCCCTCAGTTGGAGACTGTAGAAAGATGTGGTTTTTCTATAAAATGAAATACTACTCGTCCATAAAGAATGAGAAATTAGATTCATTCATAGGAAAATGAATACATATTGAGGATATACTCCTCAGTGAAATAAATAAGTCACACATGTATAAATACCGAATAATTTCTCTCGTGTGAAAAACTATAATGGTACATAAGATCCTAATGGTATAATTGACAATGTAAAATAGGAAGAAAAGGACTAAAGGTGTAGGGAAAGTGGGAAGGGTAGGGGAAAGGAAATAAGGGAAAAGGAAAAAAAACATGAGAAAATGAAAAAATGGAAACAAAGTTTTTGTAAATAGGGAAGGGAGGAGGGGGTGAAGGGAGGGCAGGGACAAGGGGAAAAGATGAGAACCAAGACCTGTCATGAAAAGGTGCAAGATCCCAATAATGAATGTAACTGTACTGTATATCTAAAATGTACCAATAAACTCAATGAGAAAAAAAATTTTTTTAAGGGTTTATTAAAGTGACACTTCCCTAGTCTCTCTCTCCCCTCACTTCTAATAAACATAATCTATATAAGACTTTTACAATGGAAATTCAACTGTGCACTCTGGAACCCAAAGCATTAGGAAAGTAAAAATGCTACACATGTCTTAGTGCTTGTTCTATTTTTAAAAGAACTAACAATTCTAGTGTCAAAAATAGCATCATATAGATTTAATTCATTAAAGTTCTTGTAACCCAACAGATTGTATTATGTAATTTACTGGAACACCAACACCTTAATTTAACTATGTAAGAATAATTTCACCCCTTAAAAAAACTACAAAAACTCTCCAAGACATTAAGCCGTTTCATTAGTTACTTTTTTTTTCATTAGTCACTTCTTAAAAGTTGAAAGGCAGGGCTGGGGATTTAGCTCAGTGTTTCCACCACCTGCCTCGCAAGCGCAAGGTCCCTAGTTCTATCCCCAGTACCAAAAACAAAAAAACAAACAAAAAAAAGTTGAAAGGCAAATGTACATAAACTCAGCCATGAAACTAAATAATCTAGTGCTTACCAAACTGAGGGTTTCTACATGTACTTACAGCCCTTACAATAAGTACAAAATAGAAATAGATAAAATAGCCTACAGGGAGTCAGGAAATAAGACTAAATAATCTAAAGGCTTAAATAGAGGACAGTGGCACAAAAGGACATAAGCATATAAATTTTTTCTTAATTAGGTCATTAAGAAACATATACTCACTGGAGAAAATCTGGAAAACAAAGAAATATGTAGGGAATGGGGCTAAAGTCACCCAAAGCTTTCACAGTCTCATACTTGCTTCAATGCACTTTTTATTGCATAAAGTCATACTGTATATCCAATATGTATCCTTTTATTTTCACATTATCAAAGTTAAATTTTATTGGGGTTTTTTTAGGGAGGGGGTGTTGGTACTGGGGATTGAACTCAGGACCTTGCATTTATGAGGCAGGTGACATAACCACTGAGCTAAATCCCTGGCCCTGTTTTATTTTTTTTTAAATGTAATGAAATATTCTACCATATGGAATATGCCCCAATTTATTTAATCATTTCTCTAATGTTAGACACATAATTCTTAATTTTACCTATTATAAATGTGTAAAGTAAGACTCACAAATATATTTAAAACTTAAACCCACCTATCTATAACTTTATTTTTTATTGTCTTCTAGCCTTTACATCAAAATTTCAACTCTCTGTTCCATAAATGGGAGAAGACAGTGGTCACAAAGGTATAGCTTTTCTAGCAACAAGATGCTAAATTTTTTCATAGAGACACATTTTTTTTTTTTTTTTGGTATACGGATCAAACTCAGGACCTTGCACTTGCCAGGCAGGCGGAAGAACCACTAAGCTAAATCTGCAGCCCCAGGGAGAGACTTTTTATTTAAAAAAAAAAAATGTATCTAAAGGCTTTAAGTTAGAAATCAACTTTATAAAATCAGAAGTCACAGACTTTGAATACTTTAAGCAGTAATAAAATGTTTGCTGAAAATAACCTCTATAGCTCTCTTTCTGCAGGCAATAGGCAGTTTAAGAAGAACTACACTAAGCAACACTATTGACAATGCTCAATTTTTTTACATATCCTAGGGGCATGAGAGAAGGACATACCAGCAGCCTCCCTAGCACCCCATCCTAATTAAAACCTTACACCATAAGGGCTGGGGATTTAGCTCAGTGGTTCGGTGGCCTGCCTTGCAAGCACAAGGACCAGAGTTCAATCCCCGGTACCAAAAAAAAAAAAAAACAAAAAACTTACACCATGTAGTCCTGACAATTACTTCTAATCACACAATCCAAGGGTCACAACTGCCTCTTTTCAAAATGGATGGGCTTAATCCAGATGAAGCCATGAAGTTGCTTAAAAAAACTTTGTAGCAATGATTAAATTGATGTTTCCTTGAAAATGCTTTCTTGGTATTCCAGGAAAGAACAGTATCATTTCCTTAGTCAATAAGACAATGACAAGGTACTTGTGTTCTATACAATTTACTTTTAGGCCAGGGATTTTGCTCAGTGGTTCTGCCACCTGCCTTGCAAGCACAAGAACCCATGTTTGATCCCCAGTACCCCCCCAAAAATAATATTAATAATAAATAAAAATAAAATTTACTTTTAGTATTTCAGTAATATTCCTTTCTGAATACAATGTCTATAAGGACTATAATGAAATACTAGCTTCTCCAAAGGACCTCAGAACACACTCATAAATAAATCTTACTCTGAAGGTTGGCTTTAAATTTCTGTACCTATGAATGCATACTATATTGTACAAAATTTTATAGGCAATGAAATTTCACCTAACACTTCATCAAACCTTGTTTTTGGTGATAGACTCTGATGCTCCAAGTAAGGACTGAATGCAGGCTGACAATGCTTCCTGTGATAATCCTTGGAACACAGCCCTCTGGTGGAATAAAAGAGAAACATCAGTCTGTGGCTCTTCAAAAACCAGAAAAAAAGGCTAAGCAGTGCAGGCAGCTAATAATGCTTATTTGTCTTCAGCATGGGATTATTTTATTACTGTACCATTCCTCCTGGGGTTTTTTTACTCCCCTCCAACCTTTCTAAACCAACATACACAGGCACACTTATGTCTGCCAACCCATGTGTGCCCCTTCAATACATATGAATCAGCCCACTACGCGCTGGGCGCTGTGTTAGATGCTGAAAAATACAGGGGCCAAGAGGTAGGCAGATTTCTGACCTCAGGGAGCCTTCAACCCAGCCTGATTTCATGTTGTACGGCTATTTTTTAAAGCTCTAAAACTAACTGTAAAAGCCCTCAGTAAAAGCTTTTGTAAAAATTTAACCCAGGTAATGAATTGGTATTTACTAAGATACTTTAAGGTTTGTGTATATGGCTCTTCATTATGGTATTATTTAAAACAAAAAAAACTGAAATAATACAAATATTCAATGATGCAAGGTTCACAAAATACTAGTAAACTAAATTACAAAATGCTGTGCATGAATATAAAGAATGCTGAAGGAGGCAGCAAAATACTTATAAGAAGTTATATATTATAAACTAATAGAAAATACAAGCAATAGAAAAACATATTACAAAGTGGTACATGAAGTATGAATATTAATTCTACCACTTCTGTATCATCCCAGAGGTGTGACGTGTTCATTGGGCAGAGATTCCCATCAGTCTCTTGCTTCCCTCCTGCCTTCACTCTACCTGAGATGGAACTGACATGAATGAAAATATGCACGACATTTATTGGCAGGCTGTACTCCTGGCCCTGGTCTCCTGCTTGATATTATTCTCTTTTTTATTGCTCTTCCCTTTATCAAGGCTACTATCTGAGAAGGGATTAGTGTTACTTCACACTGGGTCGCTGTTCTTGCCTGGGAAGGTTAAAGATGAGAGCTTAGACCAAGACCTTCTTCTTCCCCTGTTCAGCCTTAATGGTGTTTTTCACTGGACTTGCCTTTCCTTACCTTTAATCAGTAAGACTAAAAAGGTTAAGACTTGAAAGACAGCTAGGTGAAAAAAGAACAAGCCTGAGGCACGAAACAAAGAGGTAGAAAAGTCCTGTTAAAGAACCCTCAGAGGCTTCCTTCACTATGATCTAGGGTAACAAAGGATGCTACATGGAATATGCCACCTGCACACTTCCTTTGGGATTCTGGCTCTACTGCAGAGAACTTCTAAATTCTAGTATGCTACGATACCTACTAGGGAACATGGGAAGGAAGAAATGCCAAATGTGCAAACTTCCTTCTCAAAGAGATGTCATGTCAGTTTAAATTAGATAGAATAGCACAGACTTGACTGATGCCATGAAACAACTGTAATTTTCTTGGATCAGAGGACTCTGCAGAATGGAATACCAGTATGCGGTATGAGGGCATCTATACTCCTTTTCAATTATATCCTTAAAAAACACTGGCACCTAGAGAAGTTGTTACATGACTGCTATATTTAATCATTTTTCTCTGTATGTGCAGTTGGGATGGTAGCCATCAAATTAATAAATTAAAGATTGAAAAAAAATGACCAAATTTCATAACTATATTGGTTGGAAATCAAACCAATGATGGCAAATTTGTAGACAAATACACTGTTACAGGGGAATGAAAACTGTTATTACTAAACAGAGTGCTTAAAATAACTCTGTTCCCTGAGATCAACACAGTGTAAGTTGGTCCTGAAAAAAAAGTACTGCTAACTCCAACAAATAACTAAACTTACTCCACAACTAGTAACACATGCTATTACACTATTTGTTGAGGATGCTGATTCAAACTGAGTGCACAACTAGATGACAACATTTAATATTAGATGTAAATTATACCTATGTGGCACTGGATATACCACTTAACCTCTCTGCAATCTCTTCTCTTCTAAAACCTAAGGCAGACAAATTAATCAATTGTTTTGAACTTATTCCTTTGAGAAACAATGAAAGCCAAAGCCCTTCTCCTCAGAAAGGCACAATACAAGCTACACACAGAACATACCCACCATTTCAAGGCATCCAGAGACCCTCCAAAGCCTGCTAATGGATTCTAAGAGTCTATAGAATGCTCAGGTTAGGAATCCTTAGTAAGCTTGACATTCAAGTTATCTCCATGCCTAAAAATCATGATTCTAAGAATATCAAGCAAAATACTGTATCAAGATCTTTTTTAGTTTTAATCACAATTTATGATTAACTGATTAATGCATTAATAATTTATTCAGCATGTATCAAGATCTTAAAATAAACTTTAAAATATTCCAAGTGAAAGAGTAAGCAATTCACAGTAAAGATATAAGAATTTACACATACATCTATGCATCTGTATAATTTGGAGAGACAGACAAGAGTTCTTCGAACTGTAGGATACCACATTCCATGAAGATCTGCTGGAGAAATTGTGGTATGTGGTCTAGGATTGAGGGATTCTGTTGAACCTAAAACCCAAATAAAAAGATTGCACACTTCAGGCATGTGGGTGTCTGTCTTACAATAAATTGCATGGTAGCTATAAACTATATATTCTCATTAACTAGAAATGGTACACCAGTTTTTCCCAGTCTCATCTTTAATCAAGAATACCCTTAGAAATCTAAAGTGAGATTTAACACAAGGGAGAGCAAATGTACATTTCAGCCTCAAGTATATGCTCAACCCACACTGCTTTTCTCAAACTAGCATTAACAATCTTTATGAAATGAACAGCACACTCATATTACAGATTTGAGAAGGCAGAGATGTACATGGTCACATGGAAGCAAATAGGAACCAAAGGAGGTAGCAAGTGACGACAAATTTTAAATGGGAAGATTAATCAAAGCAGCTTGCTGTCACCCTGCCTTCCATGCTGAGCTACATTACCTACAGGCTACTTAGTACACTCAATTCACAAGTGATGAGAGTTGGCTCCCCGACCCCTGGACAGTCAAAAGGCAGCCTCTGGTAAACATGAGGAGCAAGCAGGCAGGGAGTGCAGCTGAGCAGCCACCTCTGTAAGGAAAGGACAATCACTTTGGTATTTAGGAACAGGTGGCAAATGAACCACAAAAACAGAGCTGGTATAAATCTCTGGTACAAGAGGTAAAACTGAAATATGGATTGCATATTAGAGGACATTAAGAAACTTAATTAAATTTTTAGTGCTATAACAGTTTATGGTTATGTAAGATGTCATTTTGTTTTGAGAGATGCTGAACTAATCAAAGCTGGAGCACTGATGATATCAATAATTTACTTTAAAATGACTGGTTCAAAAAAGTGGGGTTTTGGGGTATGTGTGTTATGGGTTTAGATCTAGAACATCCCCCCAATTCTCATGTACATGTAAGGTAAATGGACTGTGTGGGTACCATATTCATCAGTGAATTCAGCTACTGCTAAGTACAGCAGGTAAATGTGCTGTCAGGAAGTGCAACCTGGTCAGAAGACGCGGGTCACATGGGGAGTGATCTGGAAGGGTATATTTCCCTCCTTGGCTCCTCCCTTCTCTTTCTGCTTCCTGGCTGCCAAGGGAGAGGCAGCTGTCCTATGCTAGACCCTTCTACCATGTTTCTGCCTTGAAGCTAACCAACCATGGACTGAAAATATGAGCCAAAGTAAACCTCTTCTCCTTTAGGTTGTACGTGCTGGGTATTTTGTCTGAGCAATGAAAAAGTAACATATGTGTAATATGATAAAATATCGAAGACTTCAGTACACATAGTTAGGCATGGGTGTTCATTTTTCTTTTTATCTTTCTTTTCACTAGGCTATATACAGTGATCCTTGACTCACGAACTCAATTTGTTTGTGAAGGCTGGTGGTAACTCAAGTTGGTCAACTGAAGGCTCAGGCTCCTCTACATAGCCTTCAAAGTCTCTCTCCTGTACACAGGCAGATCTCAGTAACCTTAGAGAGACATTGGCCCAAGACTTCTCAATTAACCCCACAGAGGAAAGTATATTGTAATGTTCCTTCCACACCTCTTTAAGGGTTCAATCTGTATCTGAGACCATCTGGAAGCATAAGCAGCCAGCATTCAGGTAGTAACTCAAGACTTTGGTCATAAGTTAAAATTACATTCCAATCATAACCCAAGTTGTTTATATGTCAGGCCAGTTGTAACTTGAGGGTCCACTGTATTTGAAATTTCTTCAATAAGAAAAAACTAAAATTTATAAATCATGCACCAGTAGTAAGTTACAAAACAAACACACCTCCTTTTTTTTGAAAAGTGCTAGAGTTGTGTGCTTAAAAGAAGGACTGGAGATTGTGTGGCATAGATATGAGGGGAGAGAAATGAGGAAAAGGTTGAGAGTTAGTGCTTTCACCTTATAGTTTTGTAAGCTGTTTTACCAAAAGCAATAATATTTGAATAATTTTTAAATTTCTTCCATAAAACCTCATTTAAGATCTAGTTTATATAGTCTCTTGAAGAAAATCCAAAACAAATTATATCAAAGAATATTTACATTGTTTTAAATAATATTTACATCTAGTTTTGCTAAAAACTTTGCTATCTGCAGAATGTCTCCTTTGAAATAAAAGCCAAAAGTACTCCCAACATTTAGTGAAAAAAAACATTTGAATGCTTTGAAGCTAGATGTCAACTTGTTCGTTCATTTTTTCACTGTCTAGTTTAACCGTTGACAGAGGAGAGTTTACTTCAACAGCAAACCATCAAAAGCCATGTGTCCCCTGATGCCCCTTTTGAAGAACAGAGCCACCCCAATGGCAGAGCTTCTCCCACATTCCTGAGTGACACATTCTCCTCCATCACCCTCAGAAGCCTCCCTTCACATCTCTACATAGAAAAGCAAGTCCATGCATTTTGAAGAGCCTGATAATTGATCTCTTCACAAAATGGCCCCTCCACTAGTGATGCCTCATTCTACACCATGAACTTACATCATTTAAAGCCTTCCTTTTAGAGGGCTCTCATTCTTTCATTTCTAGAATACCTGAGAACCAGGAAAAATGTAACTAATATAGAAATCACTAATAAAATATTTTCCCTTTTTTATTTCATACCAAGACTTTGAAACCTAGTGTGTACTTAACACACTTCTGGCATATTTTACACACTCATGGCACATTCAGACAAACCAGATTTCATACGCTCAGTGGCAGGTGGCTACCACAGCACAGCTCTAGATCCATACAACACAAATCCTCTCATTTGTCTCACACTGATTTTACTCACTGTTCCTTAGCCCTCACATTTAGTGTGTCATCGAATCCTGCTGACCCAAATTTCTAACCCTCTGCCTCATCTGTACACTTCATCCTCTAATCAACATCCTGGTTCAGACCACCTGCATCTTTCAAAGGGAAAAACACAACAGTGTCCTAACCAATTTTTCCAGTTCTGCCAGTTCTTCCTCATTGCAATGCCCAGCAAGAATTAAAGAACTGGCTTTACTGGAGAAAGAGAAAACATAAAAGGCCAGGGTCAGCAAGACCAGGATGTACTCTGCTCTGTCCACTAACTCTTAAGGAAGTTTGCTACGACCAATGTGTACTGGGATATGGCATGGACTCTACTGTAGAGGGGGGAATCTCAACCCATTGTGGGTCTCCCTCCTACAAGACAAGCATGACAAAATGACTCTATCAGATGGCTACTTGGCAGTCTAGATTTGGGGTACACTTTTTTATAGAGCTGACCCAGATTACCTAATTGTGCTATAAATCCGGGATCTTGGAGAAGCTAGGGCTCTTTACAGCCCATGGAGAGCCACAGTATCTACCGCCTTACAGCTGGGGAAGAGAGACGACTTACCTACCAGTTAGCTGTTATTCACGTCACCCAAGTGATTCTCAAACAATTGTATTCCTTGAAAAGTCCAAGCTATCCTATATATCTCCATCAAAATGTTTTCGCTCCATTCCAGCTACTCAATACAAATCTGATCATCTGACACAATACACTAGCTAAAAGCTGAAAGGCTATGAAATCATAACGTGACACTGATGACCATCTGGCCTGCCTCACTTGCTCCTTCCTTGCATTTACCCTGCCTGTGGCTAAACATACAAAACCCCTAGTGTTCCCCAAAGCAGCCACAGTCTTCCACTCCTATATGCTTTCCAACATGCTTTTCTAGCTACCTCAAACAACCTGACTTCATCTGACTCTCTCACACTTCTACAAACACACTCCAGCTTTCAGATGCCACACTTCGGACGGACCCCACCGCCCACACTCAGGGAGCATTCCCTTCACGACGCTCATGACCCAGAAGATCTGCCATGGTCCAAGACCACCCTGTGTTTTCCATCAGTATCACACCCACTGAATCACACCTGAGGATTATCAATCTCCCCTCATAACGTATGAGCTCCTCAAAGGCAGAAGCTTTTTTACATGCCTGGGACACAAGTCCTTAATAAAGGCATGAACTAAATAAATAAGTGCTAGAAGAAAAGACCTCATAACATACCAGATTTTGTTAGACTATTAGAATCTGCTTCTTCTAACCGAACATCTGAAAATGAAGCTTCTGAAGGTAGCTTCTTCTGGTCATCTTTTAAACTCTGTGCAATTTGCTGTACAGGGAAATCAGAAGGAACATTACAGTTTAGTTTTCAGCAGTATTTTGGCAATATGAACTGGCTGAAAAGATGATTGAGAACTCACATAAAATCAAAGCATCAGTCCATTAAGGACGTGCTAATTACAAAGGGGGAAACATACTTTTATAATTACCACCTTAACCATTTGTGGAACAACCTGACACTGTTCCTCAGAGGTAATGAAGTAAGAAGTACACATGTACTATCTAGTACTTTTACACACACACACAAAAAAAAATTAACCTGAATTTGAGCAAGAGGAAACAATCAAATCTACAGTATGGCAACATTTTACAATAAAGCTGACTTGGTCTTTTCCAAAAAGACAATGTTATAAAAAATAAAAATTTAAAAAAAAAATGGGACAGGGAGAAAGGGGTCTTCCTGTCTCAAAGAGATTAAAGAGACAAAAACTAAATGTAACACAGGAAATTTGATCAGATTATACTGTTTAAAGTTTTTGGTCCAGTTATAAAAGACATGTAAAGGACAACTGAGGAAATGTGAATAGGACTCTATGTAAATAATACTGTTGAATTGATGTTAACTTTATTAGGTGTAAAAATGGTATTGTGGCTATGTGGAAAATTTATTCTTAGAATAAGAACTAAAATAAGAGTGAAGTATCAAGATATCTTCAACTTATTCTCAAATGATCCAACAACAAAATAAGCACAAAGAGATAAAAGTGAATGTGACAAAATAGTAACAACTAGTCATTCTGAAGGAAATAGCTTGAACTGGCTATGTGATGGTATTAAGGAACTATAATGTTTTAAGGTATGATAATTATGATTATGTTAAAAATAAAAATACCCTTACCTTTTAGAGAAACCCACTAAAGTATTTATAAATTTTAATGTTTGAAAATTGTTCTAAAATAATTAAGCAAGAAAGAATAAGGAGATATAAGCAAATAAGATTGGCCATGTTGAGGCTGAAGCAATGGTATGTAAGTATTCATTTTACTAAACTTTTGCTTATGGTTGAAAATTTCCACTGAAAAAGTGCTAGGTTCTAGAGCTGGGCATGGTGGTACCACCTGTAATCTCTGCTACTCAAGAATCCAACACAAAATCTTGAGTTCAAAGCTACCCTGGAAGACACAGTAAGAACTCATTTCCAAAAAAAATTCTAGGTTCTGTCATACTACTACCTGGAAATTCCTTAACCTCTCCCCAAAGCTCAAAGAAGATGAAGTTGTGTATGGAACTGAACAATCAGTGAGGTAATGTAAGCCTTCAAACCAAAAACTGGACATTAGTACTGTGTAATTTGGAGAAGACCACCTCCAGGGTTCTGAGATAGCACGATGTGGGGTTACACCATCACCTTCAGGTATGGTGGCTCCTATGTTATCAACCCTCCCACTTTTTTTTGCAGCACTGGGGATTAAACCTAGGACCTCACTGATCTACATCCCAAGCCCTCTTCTATTCTGAGGCAGGATCAAAACAAGTCACTAAATTGACTAAGCTCAAAGTTGCAATTCTCCTACTACAGCCTCTCCCACAGTACTGGAATTACAGGTGTGTGCCACCACACCCAGCTTCAACTGTTCTATGCCACTTATAAAAAAAAAGGGAAGCCACAACACTAATTAAATTTGAAAATTAAGAATACATATTTCCTGGCAAAGGAAAAAGAAGTGAATATAACGTTTAACAACCATAACAACAAATTATCCTCTTTAATGTTTTTTTAAAAATTTGATTCTTATGACAAGTTTATCTTGATTTTACTTTCTGAAAAAATTAATTTTTGAGAAATTAAAAAAGAAAAATCTCATTTTAACTAGTATAATATATTCAAAAGTTGTGCTGAGGCAAGACGGAGATGAAATATAGAGACCCTACCTCCATCATGACTAACTTATCAGGATATGCCAGGTCTCCAGGAGCTGGTTTGTACCCTGTGATGTCCGTCTGAATATAGATATGAGTTCGATACACAAGCCGCTCTTGTACATCTTCCAACATCTGCTTTGCTCCAGCTGCAAATGCCCCTAGTTGTTCAGCTAATAAAAAAAATGCAAGCATCCATCCTTTTAGACATAGGAAATTGCCTTCTTATAAAAAAGCAAAGATATTACTTTAATCACTTTTGCTTCAGAGACTGCGATTATATTCTATTTCAATATGATTCAATGATCTTAACCATTGTGGAAATCATTATGAAGATAACTCAAAGAACTAGGATTAGAGGTCCCATTTGACCCAGCTATCCCTCTGCTGAGTATCTTTCCAAAAGAATTAAAGGAATCATAAAACAGTGATATATATGCACACCCATGTTTATAGTAGCACAGTTTGTAACAATTAAAACTTGGAAACAGCCTAATTGCCCATCAAATGGAGAATGGATAAAGAAGATGTGGTTTTTCTATAAAATGGAGTACCACCTGGCCATAAAGAATGGGAAACTAGAGTCATTCATAGGAAAGTGGATGCATATTGAGATCATATGCTTAAGTGAAATAAAAAAGACACACGTGTAAATACCAATAGTTTCTCTGGTGTGAAAAACTAAAAGTGTAAATAAGATTCAAATTGTATAATTGATAATGTGAAATAGGAAGGTCTAAGGGAGTAAGCGAAATGGGAAGGGTAGAGGAAAGGAAAGAAGGGAAAAGAAAAAATATGAGAAAAAGAAAAAATGGAAACAAAGTCATTGTAAATAGGGAAGAGTAGAAGGGCTGAAAGGACAGTAGGGGAATGGGGAAAAAATAAGAATCAAGATATATCATGTAAAGGTACAAGATCCCAAAAATGAATGTAACTAACTACATTGTATACCTAAAATGTCCCAATAAACTTAATGGAAAAAAAATATGATTCAATGATCTTAGAAAAGTTTAATAAATGTCTCTCAGGGGCTACAGATGTAGCTCAGTGGTAAAGTTAACTGCCTAGTTTGTGTAAAGCTCTGGGGTCAATCCCCAGATAGCAAAAAAGAAAAACAAAAAGTCTTTCAATTTCAATTTAAAATGGAGAAATAAATTGGTCCTTATACTTCCTTCCTGCAAAATTATTTGTTATTAATATAAACATTGAATGGGACTTTTAAGAAAGCTTTGTGTTCTTTAAAGGTTATTTCATACAGCCCCAGACCAATCCTAAGAGATATTTAAGGAAGCTTAATTTATTATCATTCTCATTTTACAAATAGAGTCCCACAGATAGTAAATGACTTAACATTTTCACAAAGAAAAAAGGTAAAAAATGAAATGAGTTCCTTTAGTACTTATTCATTTCTTAGACGCCACCAATGTTAAGACAGACCAGTAATTTCAGCAAACACTTTTTAAGGGATAGGGAGTTGAAGACACAATATAATAATTTAATAATATTAATTTTAAAATTATCCTGGCCAGGGATTTAGCTCAGTGGTTCCACCGCCTGCCTTGTAAGCACAAGGACTTGAGTTCAATCCCCAGTACCAAAAAAAAATAAATAAATAAATAACAATTATCTTGGATTCAGAAGCATTAATATGTGAGAAAACATACATCACAGAATAACTAAATGTAGTAAAAATAAGTCTGGAGGAGTAACAAACCCATAGTAGTGTCTACTAATGAAAGTCAAGGTGAAGACAATAAATTCTGCCCACAAAATGATTATTTGAAGAGTATTTTTTTGATTTTTATGAGTACGTGTTTGCATTACATAACGACTACATTCATCATGGGGAGCTGATACTTCCTTGAATGTGCCCAATTTTGTATTTTTTAAGGGACCTAAGTACTGGATTAGGAAAATCATGTTCTCTACAACTGAGCCAATGAAGAATTGATCCAATGGATAAAGCAGAGCTATTCCAGAGAACTGCTTTTATTTATTTGTAATTTCAAAAATGATATACCATAACTATGTAAGATAGTACAGTAATTCCTCATTTTTAATCAAAAGGATGCAAAATATTCAATTACTTTATGTATTCTGTAAACTCTGAACTAGAAATACCTAACCCAAAATTAATGGCCAACTCTCTCTGCATTCTGGATGCCAAAATAAAAAGTGTCTAACCATTTTATTACTAATTTTGCCCAGACTTTAAAATTTTTTCTCTATGGAATTTGAACCATTTAGTCAAAGAATAAGTTGATTCAAAAAGGAGAAAGACATTAGCCCAAGCTTCAAAAATTTTAAATTTTTATTTTAAATGTTTTTAAAAATTAAAAAATATTAAAGATTGCCAGGTGTGGTAGCACATGCCTGTAATCCCAGCACTGGGGAGACTGAGGCAGGAGGATCACTGTGAGTTCAAGACCAGCCTGGGCTACATAGTGAGTTCCAGGTCACTCTCAACTACATAGTGAGACCCTATCTCAAAAAAAAAAAAAAAATTAATATTTTAGTGCAGGGATATAGAAGGATCTAACTTTTTTCAAATTTACTGAGCCACAGATATAATTTAAAAGACCTTTAAAATGATCACTTCTATTTATTTACCATTGTTCTGTACATGATCTTCAAGCACTTCATTTTTAAGAATCCCACAAAGTTCAGACAGAGTCTCTAAATGAATGACATGAATGATCAACGGCCTGAAGACATCATACAATGACATACACAGTTTCTCCAAAAGCTCACTAAAATAAAAGAATAAATTATGGTTACGGAAGTAATGTTTTCTAATACTTTAAAAGCTTCACTGATTTTTCTAGCCAATAAAAACAGTAAGTACTGAAAAAGACTAACTGGGAATACTATAAAATGAGAAGTGAAAGGCAGAAAGTAATTCTGTAAGCTGTTTCTGCTTTAAAAGTTCAGAATCTAGGAGCAATCTGTAGCAATCCATTCAATTAGCTGCCACCGACCAAAAATCAACCTACCGCAACTTTTTTTATTTCAGCAATAATTCTCTACATGTTCTTTCAAAAACAAAATTACCTTTAAACTACCTTTTACATTCTACTTCACTGTGAATCAACTGGTATATTTTCTCCCAGCAAACACAGGTTCAAAAGTCTTGAATACATATATATTTAGATAAAAATCAAAGTACTTTGGATATATATATCAAGTACTGTGAGAAACTTTAAACACTTAGAAAAAATGAGTTGTCTATATTCTTCACATTGCCAACAGTGCTTTTCTATATACAGTATTGATCAAAGTGATTATCGCAACAAAGACCATGAAATACATTTAGCTATTCCTCACTTACAAAAATCATAATCTTAGAATCTTTTAAGAGTCGAAATAGTCAACATGAAGAAATCAAAAGTGACTAACGTGCAACCGAAATACTTTGAAGAAAAAAAAAGTTATTAAATAGTGTCCACATTTTTAATTATCTTTCATAACATTTTTGAACTAGAAGGAATATTGTACTTAGTAGGGATAAGAGCTATATATACCAAGACATAGTTCCTTGTACAGAATTACTAAATACTACATAGATGTACATACATATATTCATATATACAGAATTACTATATACTTACTATCATACCCAAATACATCTTTAATTATACTACAAACAATATGAAAGCATGTTGGCCTTTAAATTGCATGTTTAATATTCACTGTCCTACTCAGTAACATTCTGTTCACATATGTAGAAAAGTTAAAACACTGTAATTGGTTGTAGAGTATTCTTTTGACATACTGCACCATTACAGTCATAAACAAATTACATCTTATCAACAAAAGTTAGGTTCCATGTGCCACCTACTCTAACTTTGGTGTCGATTTCGTGAAAAATTCATTGTAAAGTTGGTGCTCATCCTGGCACACATGGACCATGAAGGCACAGCCACTGCGAACCTGTGTAAACACACACACACCTATAGTTAGACATTCTTAGTGCTCATAAAGTAAAGCCTACACTTATCTGCAAAGAAATTATGTATATGCGACTTATCAAAGAACAGAAAATGTTTCTTTTTCCATGACTCAGTGCTTAGTGGATTACAGATAACTTTTATTGTGTTCTTAAAGCTTTATTTTCTAAATTTTTTATGATGATTACAAAGTACTCTTCTAGTTGAAAGAAAACAAAACCAAAAACCTTTACTTTTTTCGTATGATATGAATTAAAATCACACTAAACAAGAAAGTACTTCTGCAGCAAAAGCTAAGCTAAAATATAATTGTCAACAAAAATCCACTAACTTTGAAATTTCATCTTTAAAAAAAGAAATAATATTTCTGAATCTTCATATCTCAAAAATAAAATAAGAATTATTTTGCAAAGTTGAACAAGACTAACAAACTAGATGTCAAACTGAGAAAAAAAATTGGTTTGCTGATATGGGAACTGAACCACATAAACTTGCTAAGTCATGTCTGAGACCCTGCTCCCTGAAGTAAGCTGCGTACTACAAGAACAAGACATCAGGGACACAGCCAGATTTGGAAAAACAGTACTTTAGAGGAAAGTAAATCAAGTATGGCATTAGAATAGCTCAGGGGAAGGTTTAACACTAAACAAAATTAGGTACAAACTTACCAAGGCACAATGGTCTCTATTATTTTGGCTGGTTAACTCTGTGACAGTACACGCAATACTAGGGCCCAAAAGGAGCTCCCGTTGGGAAAGGTAACATTGGTGGATATCATTCAGCAGCTGCTGGTATCTAATGGAAAAACAAATAAAAATAGATGGGGATATGAACTTCTGATTTCAGATATGTAAATTAAATCTGATCTTAAATCCCAGAATAGGTTGTCTAATGGTCCCCTTTCATTTGCCCAAATTAAATGCTCAGAAATAACAGATATAAAACAAAACCCATAATGAAGTGACCCCACCAATTCTACCTCTTAAGTAATTTCTCTTCTAAGAATAGAGACCTCCCATTTGTCTAGAAGACAAGGAAATCCTGTTAGGGGAAAAACTCTGCCATGCAAATTTGCTAAGTCAAATCTGAGACCTAGCTCCCAAAAAATAAGTTCTGCCCCATAAGAACAAGCTCGGATGCCTGATGGCACATGGCTGTAACCCCAGATGCTCAGGAATCTGAGGCAAGAAGATCACAAACTAAGGTCAGCCTGGGCAATTTAGTGAGATGCTCTCTCAAACTAAAATAAAGAAAACAGGCCAATGATGCAATGTGGCATTCCCAGTTCAGCCCCCACTACCACAAACAAGCAAAAAAAAAAAAGACTAACTCCTCAGAAAACATCAGAGACATAACCAGATTTGGAAAAACAGCACCACAAGAAGGTAATCTGGAAATCAAAGAACTGGATACTCACTCAGGTATCTTTTCAGATCGTTCTTCTATTTGTTCAATAAGAGTCTGCAGAATAAAGAAAATCACATTAAAAAGCCGAATGTATTAATTAGACTTTTCATTTCTTTTTCATTATAATAGTATCACATGCTCATTTAAAGAAGTGTAAATACAAAAAAAAAAAAAATGAAAATCCAAAAAAAATCACCTTCAATACTAAAAAGTAATCACACATAGTATTTCAGAATATTTACTTCAGGTTTTTGGACCCACAGTTTTCTTTTTAAACAAAACTGAAATTACACATTTTTATACATGTAGTACCAGTACTCAGGAGGCTGAGGCAAGAGGATTGCCACCAGTTGAGGCCAGCCTGGGCTACATAGTGAGCTCAAGGCCAAGCTGAGCTACATAGTGAGACCCTGTCTCAAAAAACAAAAAAAAAAAAATCAACATTATTTCATAAACAGTTTCATATTAAATAATTTTCAGTATTAAATGAAAACATACAGAAAGCCTTACCATAGTGCCTAATAAATATTCAATGAATCTCATTTTGATTCATTTAAAACATTATGGGGGGCCGGGGATTTAGCTCAGTGGTTCCGCTGCCTACCTTGCAAGCACAAGGTCCCAAATTAGACCCCTGGTACCAAAAAAAAAGATAGCTTTCCGAACCCACACAAACTGTTTCCCTTCTCTGAGAGCCTACTTCCTACTATTTAAACTAGTATTATGAAAGCACCAACACCATGGTTCAAAAGAAAGATGTATCTGTATAAGCTTTTGAACTAGTATCCTAAAAACAATTTTTAGAAATGAATTATTTGCATCAACAGTATTACTTGCCTCAACAAATCCTCAAAAGAACTAACCTAAGCCATAATTTATCAATTTCCACAACACAAAAAGAATGACTAATGTTTGTTTCTTTTGTATTCTGGACCAGCCCTGAACTTGCTATGCAGCCCAAGATGGCCTGGAGCTCATAATCCTCCTGCCCCAACCTCCTAAACATTGGGATTACAAGCATTTGCCACCATGTCCAGCAGCCTAACCTTAACTTGCATGCATTTTCTACATTTTCTGAATAATCTGGTTATTTTACATTAAATGTTCATTTTTTATTGACGTATAAGCATCTACAGTATATTAAAAATTCTTTCCTGTCTGTTAAAAAGATTCCAAGTTTTATCTTGTTTTTGCCATTTAAAACCTAAAAATTTAATGTTTACGTCCTTAATTTCTTTTCCAATAATTTTTCTAGCTTTTTTGGGGATCTGTTTATCATTTCATATTTATTAGTTCACTTACAATGTATTTTGGTAATATTATCAAGTAAAATGCAGCTGGGGATTTAGCTTAGTGACACCATGTTTGCATCACAAGCACCAGGTCCTGAGTTTGATCCCTGGTACTGTAACAAAAAAAAAAAAAAAACAGAAAAGTTTTGAGTCAGGGCTGTAGCTCAGTGGTTCCACTGCCTGTCTCGCAAGGGCAAGGTCCCAAGTTTGGTCCCCAGTACCAAAAAAAAAAAAGTAAAATGGTTACTCTTTTTTTCAATACTTAGCAAATTTTCCCAAGAGCATTGCAGAAAACTTCAGCACTTCTTTTTGACTTGGAATGTTTCTTTATATGTTAAATTTTAGAATTTTCCATTTCAATGATCTGTCAGTGAATTATTGAATCAACAACCCTGTATTTTTCGAAAATGTCTATAGTCTTATTATCAGATAAAGTTCAAGATAATGTAAAAGGAAATCCCACTGGAATTTCTGGTAGGAGTACATCCCAGTGTACTCTTTCTGGGAAGAGCTGACATTTTAAAAATTAAGTCTCTTAACCACAAACAAGATATTTTTACCATTTATACAATCTTTTATGAATTCTGTCTAGTTTTGCCATTTTCTTCACTCTCAGAATTCCAATAAGTTATTGCTAGGTAAGCATATTATGCTTTCTATTTCTAATGTAAGTAGGACCCCAGCACATAGACTAACTTGTTCCTTATACTGTACAGGAAAGCCACTGATAATTATAATAATCACTTTATAATCATCCATGAGAATAAGCCTCTTATCTATACCATTTTCTAATCAAATTATCACTGACATTTGGCTAATAAGCAAAAGCAGTTAAGGGGGCACAATCTAAATCTCATACCATCAATCACTATTTGTCTATTATCTTCTATAGATAAAAGGAAGTTTCTATTTCCAAAACCAAAAACCAAGCAAAAACTCCTTCTCAAGTGGCTGACTTTATAAACAGAAACAAGGAAAAGAAGATTTAGCAAAGGTAGATTATCCTTTCTAGTAACTTCGCAATGAACAGAAAGAATATTCATGTGTCAGATCCAATTAAGTGTATTTCAGATATATTATAAAATATATCAGACTTTCCCGGCCTCCATTTCCAATCACCTAATCAAGATGAACACACTGTGCATTCTTTTATGTACCAAACACTACTAAAGACAGTAAATAAGACACATATCCAACCTCATGGAAGATACTATCAATGCCTTATTCAATTCCTATTTTTACCTAGATCACTGCAAAATATTTCTTGTTATCAAGCCTAACTCAAATCTCTCTTCACCATAATACACTTTTACAATACTACTTTCATTTATGAAATGATCAATGTGACCAAATCACTCGCATTATTTCTCTACTTTTCCTGAATTAATGACATGTAAAGTCCCTTGTGAAATGGTCTTTGCCATTTTTCCTGTGTTCTTTCCCATCACACCCCACTAATATTCTTCATTCCAAAACAAATTATATAGTTCTCCCAAAATGCATTTCTTTTTACGTCACTACAACCTTCACTATAATGCTGTCCTCTCTGTATAAAACATCAACCCCCTCATGTACACTAAAAATCTGAGCTTTTTAAACCCACCTTTATCTAGAAACCCTTCCTGAACATCACAAGAAAATGACGTTTCCCGCACCCAGGACACCTCTCTAGAATATACTGCTGAATGTGAAAGGACAGCCCCTATCTTTCATTCATGATCATATCTCTGGAGTAAGCAAAGTACTTCAAAATGGTTAGCTGCATAAATTTTATAACAATATCCTACTTATGTCAATGGACTTACTCTGACTTTGGGGGCAGCAGCTCGAAATTTCACATAAAATAGTGTGAAGGAATTGTCTGCATTAGGTATAGATGAAGGGTCCTAAAGGAACATGAGGAAGATAGGAAAGATAATTAGCAAATAAAGAATTATTCAGAAAATGTAGCACTAACCATTTCATATGACTATGGCTTGGCCTCCATACCAACCCAAAGCTTAGAAAAATCCCAGAGAGATTACATATTATTATTGCTAAAAATGATAAATAATTAAGAGGAACTATCATTTCTCTCCCCTTATAATTAAAATGTACTCTGTATTATTGAAAACTTTGGGAGGAAACAGACCTGAATACAGATTCGTACTGATACTTCCTGGGTGTAAAACACTGGCAAGATTATTTAACCTCTCTGAGATTCAGGGCATCTGTAAAATTTCCACAATATGCATTCATACAGACTTTGTGAAGATCAGTAGTAAACACTAGCATAGTAAGTACTTCTATTTGTTAAAAATTAGTCTCCTAGATACCTCAAAGAGCTTGGACTGGAGGTTCCATTTGACCCAGCCATCCCTCTGTTGGGTATCTTTCCAAGAGAACTAAAAAAAAAACA